ATACTTTGACTAATTGTACTGCTTCTTGTTTGAGATAGAATAAACTAAACTTTTGATTAAAAACTGGACATTTCAGATTTAATGACCTACTATTTATCACTTTGACCATTCCTAAGCGTACAGTTCAATGGTAGTAAATACATTCACAATGTTTTGTGCCCAGCTCCATTATCTATACCCAAAACTTTTTCATCACCCTCAACAAAAACTCTGTACCCGTTAAACGGTAACTTTCCCTCCCCTCAGCCCTTGGTGACCTTTATTCTACTTGGTCTCTATCAATTTGACTATTCTGGGGACCTTATATGAGTGGAGTCATATAATATTTGTCCTCCTGTGTCTGACTTATTTCACTAAGTAGAATGAAAAATGCCCATTTATGTTTCAGCATATATCAAAATTCCCTTCCTTTTTTGGCAGAATAATATTTCATTTATGTATCCACTACGTTTTGTTTATCCATTCATCTCTTGGTGAACATCTGGGTTGTCTCCACCTTTTGGCCATTATGAATAATGCTGCTATGATCATGGGTGTTGACCTCATTACTTTTCCTTCAACTGGCCCTGCCCTCTTCCACCTGGAGGACTTTGCACTGGCTGTTCCCTCTGCATGGAATGCTTTTCCCTGAGGGACCCACATGGCTCACATCTCACATCTCACTTTCTTACATCTTTGCTCAAATGGTGCCTTCTCAATGAGAAGCACTGCTGCAAACTGGTGCTTCCATCTCCTTACTGTTTGTTTATCCCCCCGTTGACACTTACCATTTCTTCACATACTATATATTGTACTTATTTAGTATATTTATTGTTTAATATCTGTCTTGCCATTAGAATATCAACTCCCTGAGGGCAAGAATTGCTTCCCATTTTGTTTATCTCAGGCACCCACATGGGTAGGTGCTCAACAATAGCTGTTGAATGAACTTAAAAATCACAAGCCTAAGTCATTTGCTGAATTACAGATTTTAAACCAGAGTCATGGGACTAATGGGTTAGTTGCTCTAAGATGCCAAACCCTCTTTTTTGCCCTTCCTGTGTCTTTTGTATTCCTACTCTCTCAATTACCTCAGATACTTAAAATACCACATATACACAGACTGTTTTAAATCTGGGTTGAAATTGGAGTTAACTTCTCAACCGGCTGAGGGTACCTATTTCCTGAAATTTAGGTCAGGGGAATGAGATCTAAAGCCTCAGACAAACAGCATGACTTTTTCCTCATGATTCGAGGACCATGCTGAGCTCTTTTATTCTTCTCCCTGCCCTCAAAACTATCATGCAGGTTTTGTGCAGCACACTCCAGGGGGTCAGTGGAAGCCGAAATCCAATCCACACCCCTCTTGCCAAGTGCAAAGCTTGAGTCCCAGGATAAGGTTGTGTTTGTGGGGGTGGGGGGTGCTTTTTCCTATTCGCCAAAGGTCCTGTGGGCTGGCAGTGGCCCTGTTTTGCAAAAGGAGATGCCAGCCCATGACCAGCAAATTGAGTGGCCTTGGAGCTCAGCTCTCCCCACCCCCCCAGGTCCATTCCGTATTTCCTACTTTTCAGGTTTGTTGAGGCTATCTGCCCCCCATCCCACTGGATTTCATGAATCTAGTGACTATTTGATTCTATTTTGAGTTCTTTTCATAGACTTTCCATCTGGTCGGGCTATGTCTCTTAAAGATATTTCCATGACACCAAGCTGGATCCTCACACCTCCTATGGTATTGTCTGTCTCAGTGGGACACAGCTCCAAGGTACCTGAATTATACCAACGTTTCTTTTCCTTTATTTAATAAACATTTACATATCCTATGTGCCAGGTGGTGTTCAACACTTGCTGAACATGAACCTATTTGACCCTCCAGCCTAAGACAAAGGTACTATTATTATCTCATTTGTAAAATGAGGAAACCAAAGCTCAGAGGATTTAAGTGACTTGCCTGAGATCACATGACCAGGTGGCAAACTGGCACCAGAGTCTGTACTTGTAACCAAGATGCTTTGGTCCCTTCTAACTTTTTTCTTGTCATTCATTTCCTCTCTCTTTCTCTACTTCCCCCCCTACATTTCCCTTTCCCTCTTTCTTCTCTTCCTCCTTTGTTCCCTTCTTCCTTCCTACCAGCCCTTAAGCAGCAGCCATCTGCTTCCCCTTGGACGCTGCCCAGCTTGGTTCTTCAGACAAGGTCCTGTGGCCCTTCCAGGGCTTCTGTCATCACTCCCATTTCCCCGTGCCAGTGGACAGCATGTGCTACCCTCCCCACCTGCCGGCTCAGGACCACAGCAGAGGCTGACAGAGGCCTGGGAACTGCAGCCAGGCCGGCCTAGAGGGCAGCTGCCTTTTGGAAGTTACATGATGCACTGCACACCTTCCCCTAATGTTGTTTACCCACATTGCCATTTCTGTTCCTGATCAGAGATTTTTTTTTTTTTTTTTTTTTGCAGCTTTTGGCCACGGCTGGGTTTGAACCCGCCACCTCCAGCATATGGGGCCAGTGCCTTACTCCTTTGAGGCACAGGAGCTGCCCATGATCACAGATTTTAAGGTGGCATCAAGACATCATGTGCTGTTTTGGATAAACCTAAATAAGGGGCCAAGAGAAAAAGAGAAAGAGTGAGACAGAGAGGGGCACAGGTAGGTAGAAAGACATAGAGAACCCTACATGGGAGGCAAAGATGAAGAGATCCAGCTGTCTGAGAGAGTCTATCACCAGAGTTCTGGGAACAAGGAGGAGGGGCTTCATATTATTGCTTTATGTGCCAATGAACATTTCTAAATTTCTGAAAGGGACTCATGTTCTTCCCTATAACATGCTTTTACACATGCTATTCCCCCAGCCTGGAAGGCCTTTCCTAATTATTTCACCTCAGGCCCATGTCCATGTATTGCTGCCTCTGGGAAACTGCCCCTGGACACCTATGGGGCAGTCCACTGGGCTCTCCTTTGAGACACATGTGAACACTTGTCTTTTTTGAACTGATTGGCTTCTGAGCATTTGTGTCCCGTCAGCCTAGTCCTCCTCTAAAATAAGACCATCCTTCCTTGTTCTCTTCACATCCTCTACCTCTATGCTCGATACACGGTTGGTGCTTGGAAATGATGAGAGAGATGGAAGTATCAGAGATTAGGACTTCACAGAGGAAGGAAAAGCTGGGGGTTGTGAAAGACTTCAAGGCAAGATGGCGTTGGGTTCAACACATCTCAGGTGTGACCTTAAGCCAGCAAGTAACCTCCCTGAGCCTCAGCTTCCTCTCTACAAAATAGGAATGGAATTAGTCTGTATCTCATAGGACTGTGTGAGAATTAAATAAGATATATAAAGCACATAGAATAGTGCTTGGCATGTGTAAATCATTCAGTAAATATTAATCACTTGTTGTTATTAAAACAGAAACAGCATAGAGTTGTCCAAATGATTACATAATAAGTGTTTTTGATAAACCATAAATCATATGGAAAGTCTCTGCCATTGTCATTCTAAACATCAACAGAACTACCGTGGCCAATCCATTGTGATTTCCAGAGTTAACTCATGAGCTGAGGCTGCATTTTTTTGAGCAAATGAAATGGTGAATATGACATTGGCTTTTGTAAATGTTAAAATGATAGTCAAACTCATTAGGGTTTGATAAAAGGTTCATTCCCTGACCCCAAACATAGTCCTGCCTGTAAATGTGGCTCATCCTGGGACCTATTTGGTCCTCAACATTCAAGAAAATGTTTTCACTTCCAAAGCCCTAGTTACTGGGGACCCAGACAGAGGCCGATGACAGCGAGGTAAAGCAACTGGGCCTGTTGCTCTGCTTCTTATAGATTACCGCCTGTGCCAGGAAACAAAGGCGAGTCATCGTTCATGTCTGCCAACTCTGGGAAGTTAAAAAAGAATTAGCTATCAGGTTGGGGAAAGAGAAGGGCTTATAAGTCTTTGTAACCCTTTTTTTTTTTTTTTTTTTGCTGTACAGAAGGGAAAACTGAAGTTATAGAGGGGAACAGACTTGCTTACTCACAAAATAAGGAGCAGCTAGGAGTAGAAGCTCGGTCTCTGGATCCCTAGCTTACTGCCCTTTCACTGATGATTTGACTTCCAAAACTTAGTGTTCTTCAAGCTGAAAGTCCCATGTCCTTAAATGAAAGGTAAGGAAGCCACGGTGCTGCTGTCCAGACACCCGCTGGGAAGCGAGGTAGGGAAAGCGAGGTGGGCGGAGTTGGTATGCAGAGCACCCCCTCTCCCCTCAATCTTCACAACCCTACGGGGGGGTCTATTACTATCTTCCAGAGGCAAAGGGCTCAAGGAACAGCACCAAGATGTGAAGGGAAGCCACCTTCAGACTCCAAAGCTCAGGATCTTCCCATTGTTCTCTGCAGCTCCGTCCTCCGGAACCCAGGCCTTTCATTGTTAAAGCCCAGAACACGCGCCGGGCACAAAGCAAACAGGTTTCCAGGACTGGGTGGGTCTCTGTACCCAGCACAGTTGCAGCCATCAGAATAGGTGCTGACTCGTCATCCTGTCTTGTGCAAATTTAGGCTTGGCCAAGCTGTACTCTCTCTCACCCCACCCCGTACACGCTTTCTCCGACCAAGTCTCCGCTCTTACGTATTTCTATTCCGGCTCCTTCCACATCCTCCGAACTCCTGAGTATTCCTTCTACCTGTCAAGAACTTTAACTAGACTCCTGAATTAATTAAGAATTAGTCGGGCGTGCGGTAAGAGGCACTGAAGACTCCCTGGCTCGCTCTTGCGCACATTGGTCAAGCGCCACGGAACTTAAGCCTCAGTTTTCCCATCTGCATGACAGTACCCGCCCGGCTAGCTGACCCGGGACGCCAGAGCTACGCAAGATCATCCAGCCCCGCCCCGTTCCGGCAGCGCCTGCGCAGAAGCCGCCGTCCCGCCCTGTGCCTTTCGAACTGAACCCGCCCCCTTCGCGCCCTCGAAGACTCGGCGCTCTTCCGAGTCTGTCAGCCTGTTTTCCGGTTTCGGCGTCTCCGCAGGCGAGCCTGCTGAGCGCCGAGCAGCCTATGGGGATGGCGGCTGCCGCCGAGTGAGCAGCCCTGGAGGGCCCAGAGCCCGGGCCCGAGCACAGGACAGACCTGTGTGCCCGCGGGAGCCGGTCCGGGGACAGAGGGTCAGGCTCTGCCGGAGGGGCGGGGTCGCAGCTTCCCGCGGGAACGAAGGCGGGCAGGCCTGAGGGTGCGGGATGTGTGTGGTTGTGGGTGTGACGTGCGAGGTGGGAGATGTGGCTTTGGGGCCATGCGTTTCGCTTGCGGGGGCCTGTGAGGATTGGGCTGTCTGTGGCCGTGTGGTTACTTGGGGGGCACGGACAGTTATGCAGCTGAGAGGACGGTGGGTAGGTGGTTGTCTCCCAGGGGTTGTGTGAAGTTGAAGCGGCGGTGTTCTGAGTTTCTGTGCAGTTGTTCGGAGCGTTTTGTGCCGTGTCTGTGGGGCGTGTGACGTTATCGCGTCTGCTCCGTGCGGTGGAGTCTTCAGTGTGCACGATCGCGTCGAGTCAGGTGGATCGTGAGCCTCTGGCCGGTGCGGCGGCGGGACGTGCAGTCTATGCAGTATGTGCCGGGTAGCATTCAGGTTGGTGGTATAGTCGCAGGACATGTAAGTTTTAGTTTTGTTTTTTACTTGGGTTAGGGTGTGAGGCGTTTGTGTGTGTGTTCAGCTATGCTGGTGGGTTTGTAGTTGATTTTTTCTTTTGGAGACAGCATCTTGCTCTGTCAGCCAGGCTGGAATGCAGTGGTGTGATCACAGTTCACTGCAACCTCAAACTCCTGGGCTCAAGTGATGCTCCTGCCTGAGCCTCCCGAGTAGCTGGGACTACAGGCACCTGCCACCACTGTGGTAGAGTTCTTTATATGATTTTAGAGTTCGTTCATTCATTAAGTCAGGGAGCTTTATTGTGCCTCATCGTCGCGTGTGCCAGGCACACTGTTCTAGACCTTGGGGATACCCTGATGGGGAAAACAGACATAGTCTGTGCCTTCGCAGATCTTACAGTCTTGGCATTATTTAATCATGCCATATATGTACATGTGATTATAAATTGAGATAAGTGCTGTGAAGGAGAAGTCCATCCTAATGGGAGTGATGCCTTCAGTAACAGGCTTTTTGAGGAAGTGAGATTTGGGGTGAGGTGTGAAGGGTGAGTGATGGGTGGCTGGTGTGGTGTGGGGCTTTAGCTTGATTTATGGTCATTAAGGGTGAGTGCATGGGAAGAAAACTGGCTGTCAGAATTCGAGGTCAGATGAACCACTGGCTGGGAAGGAAACAGATCAGACAGAGTTGCTACTTCAGTGGAAAAAGGCTGTGTGACATAGGGTTTCTTAGCTAGAGGGAGAAAACAGGGACCTGGTGTCTCATTTGTTTATTTTTTAAGTTGCCACCAGCCTTCTGCTTTGATGACCAAGTGTTCCCTCATCAGTGGCCCTGTATAGTCCGTACAAAGCTGAGGGTTGCTCATTCCCCTCACTATACTGTGTCCCTAGGTTCTTAGGGGTAAATTTCTCTGCATTTTTTGGAATAGTTTTGTCTGTATTTTCCCTATGGATGGGAGTCTTTCTGAAATGTCATTGGAAGTGACTTTGCCAGTGGCCTGTAAGACAGGAAATGTAATTTTAAAAGCCCTGAAATATTTAAGTACTATATTCTTTTATTTTTTGGGAAACATTGAGAACATTAAGGTCACTGCTCAGCTATCACTTACTGGTTCCTAAAATCTAGCAAACTCATTGGAGAGAAAGTTCTCTACAATTATAAAATAGAAGATAGATTTTTCTTTTTCTCTCCTGGGTTTCTAATGTGCCTCTTTAGACTGAGGTTGGGATTTTTTTTGTTTGTTTTAGTTTTGTTTGTTTTTTTTATGACAGATGTTATATCTTTCCCATCTTTGTGTTTTTAACACAGGTGCCTACGTATCAAGAGCTTGATGTATGTGGTTGAATAAAAGATCAAGTGTCCACTTATTGATAAGTACTGCAGGTATTCCTCCAGTGGCCAAAGTCCCATACAAATTATGAAGTTGAACCATTTGGAATGAATATAAGAGGATTGCCCTGGTATTTTTTGCTTATCTTTAAGAATTTGTTTTTCCCACTTCATTGAGTTGCTATTGTCTAGTGATATTCTCACATCTTAGGTTTTGTGTCTTGGTCTAAAGTATTTTATTAAGTGTTTATCAATCTTTTTTATCTATGGCACACTTGAACCTATAAACTTCCATGGCACACTTAAAATATGTTGATCAACACATAGAGTAAAATAAAGAATATACTTACTGTGCTTTGTACTACTTTTTGTTGTTGTTGTTGTTTTTGAGATGGAGTCTTACTCTGTTGCCCTCAGTAGAGTGCCTTGGCATCATAGCTCACAGCAACCTCAAATTTCTGGGCTCAAGCGATCCTCTTGCTTCCTTGGTAGCTAGGACTCCAGATGCCTGCCAGAAGGCCTGGCTAATTTTTAGAGACAGGGTCTTGCTCTTACTCAGGTTGGTCTGAACTCCTGAGCTTAAGCATTCCACCCACCTTAGCCTCCTAGAGTGCTAGGATTACAAGTGTGAGCCACTGCGCCTGGCCTGTGCTTTGAACTTCTTTCAAAAATAATTCAATTGATGACTTAAAAAAATTTTTGTGGCACACCTAAGATCCTCTCACAGTGCACCAGTGTTGAAAATCACTGCTCTAAATATTTGAGAAACTGTTTCCTCAAACTTGCATTGAACAGACATTAAGTATGCTTTTTTTTTTTTTAGTATGCTTGTTGAACTGTAAAAAGAACAAAGAAAATTCTTAGTTGCTCCCAGTTTGCCTGAATTGACTTTTTTCCCTTCTTTCCTTTCTTAGGGCTCCTCCTACTCCAGAGGGGAAATCTCATCCAGAGCCATCATGCCACTTCCCCATCATCTGTGTCCTGCATGGTTAAGCTAACGCTGCAGGAGCCCTGGTCCATTGGGAGGAATCAAGCTGATTCTTGGCATGAGGCCTTCCCAGGGTTGAAAGGAGCACCACCATGGCCTCTCTGGATGACCCAGGGGAAGTGAGGGAGGGCTTCCTCTGCCCTCTGTGCCTGAAGGACCTGCAGTCTTTCTATCAGCTTCAGTCACATTATGAGGAAGAGCACTTGGGGGAAGACCGTGATGTCAAAGGGCAAATTAAAAGTAAGAGGCGAGAATCTTGCTTTATTTTGTTAATGAGAGCTTTAAGTCATGGGATAATTTCTATAAGCTTCCACGTTGCCACTGGAATATGATGATAATGGTAGGAGCAAACAGATTACTAATGCTTGTCATGTGTCAGGCTTTCTTCAAAGACTCCCTATGTATTAATTTCACATAATCCTCTTAATAGCTATGTGCCTGTGAGCCCCATTTTGCTGATGAGGGGACCAAACACAGATTAGATTACTTGCCTAAAGTCACTTACTGAAGCATAGTCTGGATTGAAACTAGTAATCTGGTTGAATCTAGTAGAATCTAATAATCACTGTGATCTGCTGTCTCTCCCTCTTTTTTTTTTTTTTTTGTTTGTGCAACAGTCTCATTCTGTAGCCCTGGGGGCAAGGGGTGCCATAGCATCATTATAACTCACAGCAACCTCAAACTCTTGAGCTCAGTTAATTCTCTTGCCTCAGCCTCCTGAGTAGCTGGGGCTACAGGCACCTGCCACAATGCCCAATTCGTTTTTCTATTTTTAGTAGAGAGGGAGGTGGTGGTGGTGGATATCTTGCTCTTGCTCAGACTGATCTCGAACTTGTGAGCTCAAGCAATCCACCTGCCTGGGGCTCCTGGAGAGCTAGGATTACAGGCATGAGCCACCTCTCCTAGCTGATCTGCTGTCTCTTGCTAGACGATTTGAATTATCCAACCAGCAGCCTAAGAGGTTTAAAGAGGAATTTCTGGCTCGGCGCCTGTGGCTTAAGTGGCTAAGGCGCCAGCCATGTACACCTAAGCTGGCGGGTTCGAATCCCCAGCCCGGGCCCGCCAAACAACAATGATGGCTGCAACCAAAAAATGGCCGGGCGTTGTGGCGGGCGCCTGTGGTCCCAGCTACTTGGGAGGCTGAGGCAGGAGACTCGCTTGAGCCCAGGAGTTGGAGGTTGCTGTGAGCGTGATGCCATGGCACTTTACCCAGGGGGACAGCTTGAGGCTCTGTCTCAAAAAAAATAAAAAATAAAAAAAATAAAGAGGAATTTCTTTCCATTGCTATGACAGTGGAGGCACATTCTGCACCTATTTACCTGTCACAAATTTAAGCTTTCCCTCCATCCTTCCTTTCCCAGCTGGACTTTGCCCTTTGTAGCCCAGGAAAAGGAAGGTCATACTTGGAAAAAACAGAGAAACAACCCAAAACTTATACCTTGGTTTTTGAACTTCCAAGGGCTCAGGTTCTAGAGAGTTGTGGAAAGAGTTTTTCAAAGGTCATTTTTGACTATACATATGTTTATTGTATTTCCTGGTCTTCAAATTCTAAGCTCCATATAAGAGGTTGTTCCTTTAGAACTCACCTTCTTAGTTATTCAGCTAACTTGCTTCTCACAGCTGGCAGCATTTCTGAAGGTCATGAGATTAAAAAGGTCTGGATTTGGTATTCACAATCTTTGTTGGGAGGGAAAGAAAGGAATAATTATGTATTCGTAAGGGGATTTTGGCCTCCAAACATGCGAATGTTATGTACCTTGTAATTAAATATTTGTCCCTAGAGTCCCGCTTCATGTCTCACTTTCCTGTTCAAGAAAAAAGTATTGCTGAAAGCATTAATAGTTATGACTTTCAGTCCAAAACACGACAAAGTCAAACATTTTCAAAATCCTAACTGCTGTGATGGACAAGGTGGCTTCTGGCTGTAGGGACTGCAGAATTGAGCCATAACTATTAGGAGGCAAAGAAAAAAAGTACTATGCTTTTTAGTTTTTGTCTTTCACATACATTATTATTTTATTTGACTCTCCCAACAACCTTGCAAGAAGGTGGTTTGTCTTGTTTTATAGACACTTTATTATAAGTGAGTCTCAGAAATGTTGCAAACTTATCCAAGGTCACATAGGAATTGACAGAGTTGGACGTGGGCCCATGTCTTGTATGACCTCTAAGTCCAGTGCTTTTCTTTCCATATGGCATTACTGATGATGAAAGGTCCTATATTCCAATCACAGCATACATTGTAGCTTCCTAGGAAAACAGAACTCGAACACCTGATTATATAAGTTTCCTTTGGACAGCTGAAGGCCTCTGTGGTTCTCAACTGGTTTCTAGTCTTATTGTCAGCTGAACTGAGTCATATATAATGCTATCCCTCAGACTGGGGACACCAGGGATAGAGAGCTTAGAGAATGTTCTCAGATTCTCATGATGGCCCTTTTGTAAGAGGAAAAATACTTAAGATTATTTAGAGATATAGATATGGGAATCTAGAGAATACTAGATAGGATGGAAACTGTGTTCATGCAAGAAACTTGAAAGGATCCTCTTGGTTTTTTCCCTATCTCTCTCAGAAGAACTAAGAGATTGAGTAGGCCATTCCATTAGTACTAATGTGCTGTGTGCTGTGGCATTAGTCTCACAGCAACCTCAAACTCCTTGGTTCAAGTGATCCTCCTGCCTCCACTTCCCAAGTAGCTGGGACTACAGATAGCCACAAGGCCCAGCTAATTTTT